TTTGAATTTTGATTTAAAACAATTAAAATACTATTTTTCTTAATATTGATCCTCTACAGACTTGTTTAGTTTAGATTGAGCTAAATACAGCCTGAATTTGTCAGTTTGCCTTTCAAAATATCAATGAAAATATTTGAACTCATTACTTCTTTCATGACTCATGGCTATAAATGTAGTATAAAGGAATTAATGTATGTCTAAGCTGCAAATTTAGTACGGTCAGGAACTCACCATGGGCCAAACATATATAATCTTATACCACAATATCATACCACTATTACCTAGTTGGCGTTTGAATCTGTGAGAGCGGTTTTCACCATCAACCATACAGTATTTGATTCATCCGTCTCATTCAGCGAGGGTAGAATTTCATTTGTCGTTGAAAAGAACAGTTAAAAATTCAATCATCATATATTCTGTTATACGTTCCATTCAATTTTCTTGATGGGTGTCTTTCACTGAAAGCCCTCATGATCGGTTTTACATGGCTTAAGATCTGATATATTACCTTTTCGAAAATTCCTGACTGCCACAGGATCTAAAAATTTTATAACTTAAAAAAACTTTCTCTTCATAGGGAACACAGATAAGAGAGTTATGTGCGATTTCCAATATTTTTTACAAGCTCTGAATCTATTTCGTATTTCTCTTTATCTGTCAAATCAGTTTTATTTATTTTACATCTCAGCAGAACGAAACAACTTTTGTCATAACTGCGCGGATAGATGTTACCATTATTCAACAGATAATCCTTTAGATTCTAATAAAATAAATTGACTAATAATTTAAGAAGCAGAGTATTTTATAATGACTTATATCTCAGGAAAAATACGACTATGGCTCTCAATACATACCTTTTTATTTATTTGCGAATTCCCATGACTTAACAGAAAAGATAGTGAATATGTTTTCCGATGCTTTTTATATATATATATATATATATATATATATATATATATATATATATATATATATAAAACTTGGTAATCCGTATAGGTAGTCCCAAGGAGGATGAAATCCTGAGAGTTCAATGTAAATCCAGAGCAAATATTTGAAATAAAACAGACCACTTTAACGTTCCATTTAATAATTTATTTCACCAGAGCCCTTTTAAAGGACGCCGGATTTCGTTTCATCTTTTGGAAGTGCTATCTGATGATCCGGCGTCCTTTAAAAGGGCTCTGGTGAAATAAATTATTATAATGAAACCTTTAAGTGGTCTGTTTTTCTTTAATATATATATATATATATATATATATATATATATATATATATAATCATATGTAGCAGTTATTGTGAGTTCACTGCAGAACAAAAGTTGTTCCTAAATCCTTCTATGATGAACATGATTGCGTTATTTTAGGTCATTTGATACTAGCCAATTTGTTTTCCTTTTCTCACCATGTTCTACCTGATATTTTTCTATTGCTACCCACTAGTCACTACCAAAGCAGCTTTTGCTTAATCTGTTATCTTTTCTTCTTACATAGTATCCTACTCACCTTTCTTTAATCCTCTCCTTTAATCTTTTATCTTGGTCTCTTCATTGATTTTTTTTGTTCACACTGAATTTATTATCAAGTATTGCTTTTTTATCGATATTATTTTAGCTAGATTTCAGGCGATTTTGTTAATTTGTGATTTGTACATAATAGTAGACATTATACACTCGTTATACATTTTACGTTTTAAACTTATTGGCAAAGTGCTATTTTATTTTTATATACTCCTTACCTCTTTATGTTGTACGTGGTTTTATTTAATTCCCGTGGTCTTTCCTTAATTATCACCTGTCTTAATGAGATGTATTCCGTATTTCAATTTTTCTCAAACTCGACTCTTTTGACCTTTTTCATAACGTTATATATATTTTTAAATTATTTCCAAATTTAAACTTACATTTATATTTTCCTTATTTCAGTAATTCATCTTTTTTTTTATAATTCATCCAATGATTTTGATATTATTAATATTCTAAGTTCAAGTTGTATATGGATTAAATATTATCATTAGTGTCTTTTTCTGGAAGATACTTTCAAGACCTCCTGTAATAGTTTAGGTGAAATTATATACACTTGTTCTGCCCCTTTTCAAATGTTTGTTTTATCTTTGTTTTTGCGCATATATCTTCCCAATAACTTTTATATCATTCTCATAATTAATGCTGCCAAATCAAATGACTTTTCATAGTTAATAATTGTGGAACTAAATTATTTGATAAATTATAACTTTTTTTGGTTAGTTATTGTTTGTAGATGGTTTGTCATTAAGTAAAACTGTCCTACACCTTACCTGGTCACTTTTCCGATTTATATGTATATTTGTTAGTCCGTTTAAAAGTACCTTTCAGTATAAGTTGTATACGTCTAAGTAATTTGAAATAGAAATAGTTGCTCTTAAAAATACTATTTCTAGATTGTAGCTTTAAGAGATCTTTCTTCTCTGTGTACACATGATAAATAGGTGTGATAATTTGTTTTTGAACTCTTCTATTGCATCTTTTCAAACACCTGTAACTATGCCATCTTCAATTGTTGATTTTCCATGTTAACTGTAGTTTTAAGAAACTTTTCTTCTCCGTATACACTAAGTAAATTGTAATAATTCTTTTCAGAATTCTTATGCATCTTTTAAAATGTCTTTTATGACATCTTCATTTGTAGCTTTTCCACGTTATCATGTATGAGTTTTTCTAACGAGTATATTTTAATATACGAAACGTATACAGCTATATCTAGAGTCTCCTACATCCTTCCAGCAACTACCTTTTTATACTGAACTTGTTCGATTATAACTAAGTGCGTCCTTTCTAACCAACAACCCCATCATATTTTTCAACTTGTCAAAATTTTCCTATATTAAATAGTTTCGGCTTATTTTTATGGTTTACGCCGACATAAGAGAAACTTATTTAATCTACGATAAACTTCAGCTGCTTGAGAGCTGCAAGACAAACAATATTTACATATATTTTTTTACGATTATATACACATGATTTTGCAAAAGACAAGAATATTATCAAACACATGCACATAATAAAATTTAGCAATGCACGTAATATTTAAACTATTAATTTTTATTGTTTTCAGTAATCACGAAATGCATGTATAAACTGAATGTTTTCAAAATATCGATTCTTTTATATTGTGTGTATTTATTATGTTAATGAACTACGGGAAGAAAGAAGAAAATATGCGAATTTGATTTTCAATAATACCAAATAAAAATAAGCGTAATGATAAATAATAAAATAACGCTTTTTTAAAAGTAATCTTTGATGAAAAAAGAACTCACTCATCATATTTCTACAACCTGTATATTAAATATCAAAGAGCAAAGTACAACGGCTTGGCTACCCATGCTTTATATTAATTTCTTAAAATATGCTGTCAAGATTAAATTTTAGCAAAATAAACTAAATATACACACAGAAAAAAATATTAACGTTGACATTGCTGACCAAGGCCACTCTTACGAAATTGAAAGTAAGCGAAGCAGGGTAAATGGTGATTAACCGACTGAACGAGTTTGCGTGAATTGGATAGCAAAACAACAAAAAGAAGGATGATAAAGGATCAAAAGTTGCTTGGAGAAACAAAATACAGGAAATTGTAGAAAGCCATGATCACCGTCGTTGTGAAAGAACATGACACATAAAAGAAAACCTATGGTGACTGCCAGATGTTAGTCTCATCTTTTACAAATTCGCTTAAAGCAAAAATTGTTGGTGCGTTCTCCCTTATATCAGTAGAACGAAACAGTCTACCTCATTAACATGTTATAGATTTGCTAACATATGTATGTATACATGTTACTAACAAATTGTGTTTAAAACAAAAGCAGTAACATTTAATTTGCATAACAGTTTTTAAAACATATATTAATAAATATTTCAACGCTGTTAGTAATTTTTAATTCAGATTCTCAAAAATTGCTATTTATAAGCAATGTCTATACAGATAAAGTTATTTTTTAACATTTATTGTAGTTGCCATATAAAGAACTTATTCGCCTTATCAAAATTCAATCGTGACCAGAAAAAATATCAACGTGTTTACATTTAAAGAAAACGTAAAAGATATAGAACAAAAAATAAATATAAACTTGGCTTCTAAAAATATTTTTAAGAAAAAGATCTAATGTAAATGATTTAAAAAAATATATTTTTATGTTTTAAACCTAGCAATGTTAGGTACATCTTATTTCCTGCTGCGTTTGTCGTATCATATTACGACAAATTTGTCGAGCAGAGATGGAAAAATTACGGAATTATCTAAATAATTCAAAATAATCTGTACAATTAAATTTTCCCAAAATTGCATCGATTTATTTAAATAGTATATTGAATTGCTTATTACTAATATTAATCAGTCATGATACATGATCGCCATGCGTGATACACGCTTAGGCGATCATGTATCTTTCGATACATGACTGACAAGGCAGATTTTTCCCCGTAGTAGGTTGCCATTTCTTTCTCTGGTTGACCAAGGCCATATAACCCAGTCTGCCCTGCTATTTACCCATAGCTGGTGGGAGTGGGAGGATTTGTACCATTCCCAAGTAAGTGAATGTAATGGATTCGACGGCAATTTGAACTCGGCTCTCCGATTCGTCAATCCAAGCCGCCATCCATTACCCAACCATGCTTAATATTAATACAAACTTCTTTTTTTTTTAAATAAAAACTCTACTAAATTATTTAAATATAACGAATTTTAATTTCATTTTAGATAATTGTACTTAATTGAAAAGGATTAATTAAAATACATAAATTTTTCGTAGAAAAAAGATTTCAAATAAGTGAAAGTAAATCATTGTTGAATTAATCTTTATTCTCATAATTAATAAAACATTACGAAATTATATCAATACTTAAATATAATCTATTGTTGAAAGAATTTCCATTATTAATAAAAAAAAAACATAAGAGTATATATATATATTACAACTTTTCTTTGCCACTAGGATGGGTAGACTAGCTTTTTTTAATTATCTGTATGCATCTTTCGAAGTTTAGTTATTCTTTTTATAAATTAAAATCTATTACAACTACTACTAATAATAATACTATTACGATTATTAATAATAGTAAAAACAATACTACTACTAATAGTAATAATAACAATACTACTAATAATGATAACAATACTACTACTAATAATAATACTATTACAACTATTATTACTACTACTAATAATAATAATAGTACAGCTACTATTAATACTACTACTAATAACAACAATAATACTACTAGTATTAATAATAATAATGACAAAGATAAGTGTTCGGATAGCAAAAAAATTTATGAACGCAAAAAGAGAAAATCGGCGATTCGAGTTCAAATTCCTACCTGATCTGCTGCGTTCAATTTGGTTCACTTGTGAAAGATGAACTCTTCTCTTCTCCTCCAATTAGCTATGGGTTAAATAGAAGAGTACACTGGGATCGCTATCTTTGAGTGGTAGTGAGTATAGGAGAAGGAAAACTCTGAATTCCACACCATGTACAAGGCAACATAAAAACACGGAAATATCTTTCTCAAGAAATTTACAAATAATAAAGAAAAGGAATCTGTTGGGAGACAGGATCGCCTACATGTTGAAAGGACATGATATTTTAAAATTATAATGGCAATAACGACAACAAAAGATACTTCCTGTTCTATAAGTTGCTACATTTCCTTAAGACCTACTATAAGGACTCATCTGTTTATTTTCCTTATATGCTAGCTTAATATATTCGCTTAAGACATTTTCAAGGACTCATGACTGTCTTTATTTTAATTATATAACTTGTTACATTAGCTTAAGACATACTTTAAGGACTCATCTCTTTATTTTACTCGTATGATAGCTTACTACATTCGCTTAAGAATGCTTTAATGACTCAACTCAGTCTTCATTTTCCTTATATGCTAGCTTGCTACGCTAATTTAAGTCATTCTTTAATTATTTTAGGTTTTAACGCCAAAAGCATTTCATCACTTTCTAATTGTCGCTAACAAATATCGCAAACTATGTACTCGAAATAATACTGATCATGGTGATATTTGCTTTTAATTGACTACTGTGCTAATTAAAAATCACTTTGGCACAAATTAAATCTAATAATGATTGATACTCATTAATAATTGATACCCATTTAAGCATGCTTATTATTCCACCTTGATTCAAAACATACTTTTTTCGATCGTTTATTAGTGAAAATTTTAAACATTTATTTGGAACTAGGACAATCGATTTAAAGCAATAGTGATTGATCACAGCTTCAGAGATATAAAGTATGAATAAGAAGCAAAATCAAATATTGTAAAATATATTAGTGAGTTGAAAAATGTAAATCAAAATTAAATTCTTTTCTTTCGTTCGTTTCTTATTTATTTGCATGTAGTATTTTTCAATTTAATTGCTCATTTCTTATCCATAATTAATTTATGTATTATAAATTTCTCTCTTTTTCCTTTCTTATTTGATCTATCCAATTTTAGAGTTGTTTTTTCTTTCCATCTTTCTTTATTTTTTTCCTGTATATTTTCTTTCTTTCATTGTTGGTTTGCTCATTCTATATCTTATCAACTTCATTCACTCAATCTGTTTCTTTTACTGCCTTTCTTCACTGCTCACTTATTCATCTCATATCCTCATTTTTTGTTTCTTTTTCTATTACTTGATCCTTTTTTAAATTTATATTTTCCTGCTAAATATTTTCTTTCTATTTTTTGTGCATGCTTATTTGCTTCATTCAATTTATATATTTATTCTTGTTTTCTTTTTTACATATTAATTTTTAATTACATAATTTCTTTCACTCTGATTTCTATTATATTTATACATTCTTTCTCTTTTGCTTTATTTTATTTCATATTTAATTTCTATCTTACTTGCTTCCTTTATCAACCCTTAAATTTAATTCTGTTTTATTTATTCATTCATTTATTTATTCTTCACGCCCTTCTTTATCAACTTTTTTCATTCTATATTTTCGACCTTTTACCGTTTTTTTAAGTCCGAGTAAATGAGTATTCTAGTCAAATGAAAAGACACATTAATTCTTTTTTCTTGATTTTTTCATTGCATATATATTTCAAGTTTATTATTTTCAGATTTTCTTTCTTTTTATTTTGATTGCGTTATTACAGCATTCTATTATTTCTTTGCTGTTTGCATCGTATTTGTTACATGTTTTTTTTGTTTTTTACATTTATTTTAGATATGCTTACTTCCTTCTTTACTGTTACTTATTAAATTTACGTTTTTCTTTCTTCCTTTTTCTTCATTACTTTCTTCATTTTATATTTTATTTCTTTCCTCTTTATTTTCTCCTGTTTCATCTATTTTACATTTCCTTTCCTTTTCTCATAGTTTTTATTTATTTTATGTGTAACTTCTTTTTTTTATTGAACACTAATGGGTATGTCTTAATCCTTATAAATACGTTGGAAACTATTGTAAGTAGGCGGGTAATATACAGTCTAAGTAGTCTACTACTAGCAGTGGTTTACCTACTTCACGCCGCTGGCGAGTATTGTATTTTGTTGATGTCATAAAGATTACAATTTCATTTCCAACCTCCGTTTTGGTTATTCCTCATTCAGTAACCCTTTCTAGGTTACAACATTCATATTTTAATTTATTTTATTTTTAATACTTGTTTTGTTCATTTTAGGTTTTCATTCTTCCTTTTACTTTTTCTTGCTTGTTATACTCGTTTTACATTTTCTTTCTTTTTCTTTTAACAGTGTCTGTAGGGGGTCAGCTGAAAGAGAGATATGCCCAAAACTGGTGTCACCTGAGCATCATCCAACAATTGTTAGCAACATACAAAAAACCGTAACCTGGATTTGGAGTGTAAGACCACTACATCAACGTGGTCAGCAAGAAAATATCAAACATGAAGTGGACATTTTAAAAATTAATATTCTGGATGTATATGAAACTAGGGGGTGGGGACAAATAATAGAGACTTCATAAGCGGCGGATATTCATATACCCAAGCGGAGAGAAAAAAATGAAAAGGTGTAGGATTTGTACTAGATCAATACACGAAGAAATGTTTTGGGGTACTGTCAAGTGTCTGACAGAATAAAGATAAAATGAAGGAGCAAAAAGTAAGACGAGGAAATTGAAAAATTTTACAGCATAATGAATAACGCATACTGAATGTAAATGCTATAAGAGGAAAAGATTTTTCTTTTTTTCTTTCTTTTTTAATGTATGTTTCCTGCACGTTGATTAAGTTTTATGTTTTGGTACCATACTGTGACATTATTCAGACAGAATGTCGCGAAATTTGAGTTATCATGGAAGGTTTCAGTTGGTACAAGAAAACCCTATGCTCGAAGATAGTGTAGCCATTCGCCTCCCACTAATCTCACTGCCAGTTAGACTTTCAAATGAACTCAAATCTCTCACAGCGAGAGCCACGTTGGCGATTTACTCTTACACCGTTCTCGAAACGGTGAAATAGTTTTCAGGTACGGTCTAGAATCCTGGAAAGTGCAAAGCGAAAAATGAGTAGAGTGTCATACAGAAAATAATCAAATAATAGACAATACCTGGTTTTAAAAGCACTCGACGCTTGTGGGTATAGAGAAGCAGAAGATACGGATAACGAAACTAGCTTTATAAAAAATCAATAAAATATTCAGAAACGCAGTTCTACATATAAAATGTTTCCATGTGCTGACTTTAAAAGCGATTACCTTTCAGTTATATGCAAACTCGGGCTAAAATTACGGAAATTAAAGAAAATAAAATAAAGTAACACCTAAACTCCAATACAACACGACTCAATTTGCAAATAAATCTATTCTTACAGAGTGAAGAGCAAATATATTAGCTTGAATAGGACTGAAAATTCAAAAGAACATACCCTAAGAAGGACTAATAATGTAGGTGAAATTCTGGAGAGGATAAAAATGGAACAACAATCAATACCAAGGAATGGTACAGAATAGGGAATACTAAGCACAAAGGAATACTAAAGCTTAAATTCATAAAGAAGCAACAGGATGTGTACTCTTCACACGATGCATAAGATCAAACGCTTGAACCATCATAATATAGAAAAATACTTAAAAAGTGCAAAGAACATATTACAAAACTTTCACGACGAATTAGGGAGACCTACAATACACAAATTATGGAAGGCTTTAAAATAGCTGATGTAATATTGATACTGATTAAGACGAACAGAGAGAAATCAGCAGGGCCAGGTGGGATAGTAATTGAGCTTTAGACGATCTCAGCATCAACAAAATTACGGAAATATTAAATGAAATATGTAATTTAGGTGCAAATGAATGCGAGTTACATCTGATAATGATCTACCAAAACTAATCTTATACAAATCGCGTTGTATGGAGTGCATGGCAGAATTAAATTGGAAATAGAAAAAGAACAGTGAAATTTCGTTAAAGAAACTAAATGTGATATTTCTAATCGGAATGCTATTAGAGCGAGCAATACAAATTCAGAAAAACGCATGTTCCATAAATTATGCAAATATATTTGCTAAGATACAACTCAAATATTTGTTTGAATTGTTAGGAAATCTTGATTTATTTGGGAAAGATATTAGAATAATCCAGAATATTTATAGTAACCCACATGAATACGGATATAAAATCATGTGGACAAGTACACAAAAATAGAAAGGGGCATAAGGCAATGATACGGCTTCTCATTGGATTTATACAACCTATAAAGGGAGGCAATCAAAAAAGAATTAAAAGAACCACCAGGATTTATTTAGTCAACATAATCTTAAGGACATAAGATTATACAACTTATTGATTGAAGACACAGAAAGAAAAGTGTGGGAGCGCCTCGGCAGTTTAGTAAAGGAATGGGTTAAACATCAATTGTAAGGTAGAATGTATAGTCGTTAGTAAAATAGACAGTGCAAGACGTGAACTACATGCATCAAAATCTGTGAATTATTTTGGCAGACGACGGAAAAATTGGTGCAGACATCTGAAACCGAATTGGAATAGTGAATATGCCTTCTAAATTATTAAAAAAAGAGAAAAATAGAGTTAGAAACAAAAATGTACTGAACTGCTCTATATATGGTAATATTGATCCTCTTATGTGGCAGTGAATGCTGGACAATTTCCTCATTGATGAAGAAGATACTTGAGGCAACAGAAATATGGCTCTACAGAAGGATGTTGAGAATACCATGGATGGGATATATGAGTCATGAGGAAATTTTAAGAAACATAGAAAGAAAAAGGATACTTATATTTAGAATCGGACAGAAACTGTTGAAATTTCTATTGCATATATTGCGGAAAGACGGCTTGGAGAATTTGACATTCAGGGGACATACTGAAGACAAGAGAAGCAAAGAGAAACTGCGAATAACCTACCTAACGAGCCTGTGTAAATAGTTGGCAGAATAGAAATTGGGAGTGATAGCAAGAATATGATTGCCTACGTCGTCATTTTTTTTTCCTTTTTATTATTTGTTTTATTCATTTTAATTTCTCTTTCTTCTTTACTTTTTCTTGAATATTTTTAACATTTGATATTTACTTTCTTCTTTCTTTTACATTTTCACTTTCCTTATTTTCATTTGTGTTGTTCATTTGCGACTACATTTTTTCTATTTTCAATTTTCTTTGTAATTATGTGTTTAATTCATTTTACCTTCATCTTTCGCCCTTCGTTTACTCTTATTTTCTGTCGCTTTTATACGTTTTTATTCTTTCGAATATGCTTTATGCAGTTGATGTTTTCTTTCTTTATTTTCTTATTCTGATTTGATTTAGTCTTTTTACATTTCTTTTTTTCTTTTCTTTTTCATATCAGATTTATTCATTTGTATTTCGTTTTTCATATATTTTCTTCTTTGCTTTAAATTTTTCTTTACATTTTCTTTTTTCTTTCTTTTTCTTATATTTATATTATTTTTCCTTTCTTCTTTTGTTTTTCTTGCTTCTTTTAATCACTTTAAATTTGCTTTCCTTATTCTTTTCTGTTTTTTATACATTGGTAATGTTTTATTCTAATTCTCCCATCCCTCAGCTGTATACATAGTGATAGTTGTTTTGTTTTAATTATCCGTTAAACTTAAATTTCATTAAATTAACTTGTAGAGAAATAATCGTTTTGTTCGTGCTGGCCGTTGGTTTGTGAATAAATGATTGTTTCGGTTAAGACAACCACTGGCGTATAAATAGTTATTTTATACGACCCAGCCGTTTGTTCGTGGGCGGAATAGTTGTTTTATTCAAATTGGGCGTTGTCTGGTAGGTATATAATAGTCTCATTTAACGTAGCCATTAGAATTTTTTTAAAATTATTATATTTTGTGTGTGCGCGGTACAAGTGCAGACAAGTTTTAACAAGAAAATAGAGTAGACAAATTCCCTTTCTTAAACCGAAAAAACTTACCACAGCCAGTGCATTACTATCCTGAGTATTAAATTAGCGCCAAACCCGCGCTAAAGCCAAGAAAACTCATAAAGATAGCGATCGAGCAGAAAGGCCAGTGGCTAAGGTGTAACGTGACCAAAACGTATAAAACTATGGAGCCACCTAATGGTCAAATTCAACATTATCAAAATGGCGGCGAAGTTTGTAAAAGCCTGTTGCTGTGGAGAGAATCAGACCAGCCCTGGTTCGGTCGTTTGGGGGAGAAATTGCGATGTTGAGAAACCCGAAATTCTCGAGAAACCCAGGAATATTACTTCACTGACAATTCCCTCCTGTTCATCGAAAAAATTTCTTTCTTTTATTAATGTTAAATTTTATTGTATTCTTTAATATTTTTCTTATATTTATTGATTTGATATTGTTTTTCATTTCTTTTTTTTTTCGTTATTTATTTCATTTAGTAATTTTACATTTTCTTTTTTATTGTTTTTAGATTTAAATATCATTTCTCTGTTGCTTTTTCTTGTTTCATTTATTTCATATTTTAGTTTTTCACTTTACGTTTTCTTTCTTTTCTTTCTTATTTTATTTATATTACCATTTTTCTTCTTTCCTCTGTCCTTTTCTTTTTTTATCATTTTTAGTTTTATTTCTCCTTTCTTTTTATTTTTATTCCCTTTTTTGTTTTTGTTCTTCTTTTTTACTTTCTTGATTATTCGTTTTAAAAAATTTTCTCCTTTATCGCCCTTTCTTTTTTCTTTTTTTCTCTCTCAAGAGGGGTAATCCCTTAGATACAGACCCTAATCCTTATCAGGGCACATTTAGAGATGTGGAGTTGCTTCCTTCATCCAACCCCATCTGGAGGGATTCTTCCTTTTGTGATGTCTCTCTATTCCATACTTATTCTGGAAGTTCCAATAATCTCCCACCTGTCTTATGCATAACCTTTAGTAGAAATGATGAAAGTGTCTCTGTCAATTGTTTGTTGGACACTGGCAAGTGAAGTTTTGAAGCTCCTCAGCAACTTGGAGTTCATTAGGGCTTCATTGTGAATTCAAGTTATCAACAGTCCTTGGTGACTGTGATAAGTTCTTCAATGAGATACTCCTGGGAATCAATGTTGGATTCAGTTGTCCACTTACACTGCCACTGTTGGTGGATAATAACATTGATTTGTCAGTGCACATTGATGAACTAGACTCACTTTTGGAAGAATTTCAGTGTAACAACTGTCCCCTTGCAGGCAGGTTTGGCAGAGGCACCAATTTCATTTCAATTAATGGTATCGTCAGGCTAGATTTAATTTAGCACTTGGGGCCCCTTCAACTGGTGCCTTGTCTACATGGATAGACATTTTCGATCCCAATGGGGCTTGCTCAGTTTGGAGAGGTGACAAGATTTCACTAACCTGGACACTCTCAGGACGAGAACTTTGAGTGCGTTGTGTTTGATTCCGTGTTGACATCCACTGCTGAAGTTAAAACCTTGCACCTGTGTTTTGTGCTGGAGTCCAGGACTACATGTAAAGGCCCTTTAAGCGATTTATTCCCTAACAGTGATGTGCAGAGAGGATTAGAAAGAAGGTTCAGTGTGCAGACACTAGAGATAAAAGAACAAGAGCTGTCTAACTATGACTAGCAGATAGTTCAAATAATCTCCCACATTCAAGAATATTAAGTATTATATACGAACCTCGAGAGTCCGAGAAGATATCTTGTGTTCATTCCAACCATTATGCGGCCATTCACGTCTTGGACCATGTTGCACGGAGACTGGAACGTGACGGAATAATAGAGAAGATCTCTGTTCCCCCTCACCAGTTTAAGGAATATATTTGTATTTCACACAAGCCGTATCGTGAAGGCAGATTCTACATCCACCAATAATATTCGACTTGTTTTCAACTGCAGTCTCAAGACAAATAACTCCCCTTCTTTTAATGAGGCTGCCTACCAAGAAGTGAACCTTATGAGTGATCTAATAGAATTACTGCTCTCCTTTTGACCAAATAATCACGTTGTGTTAGCGGATATCAGGAAAGTCTTCTTAATGATCCGCCTGGAGTTGGAGACCGATAAGAATAGGTTCACTTTCTTCTTGAAGGTAGGATGAATTGTTTCAGGTATACCACAGTTATTTTCGGATTCACGTCTAGCCCCTATATTTTGAATTCTGTTCTCCAGCACCATGCTGCTAAATTTCCTTTAATCCTTGTAGACGTATGATGAGAAATCGGTACTACGTGGATAATCTGATGATGACCAGTGATAATCCAGATGAACTATGCAATTTATATGCCTTCTCTTGCAACTGGGAGGTTTTGAGCTGCAATCTTGCAGCTCTAAATGTGGGAGGATTCGGAACAATATTGAGGAGGATGGTACCCTGAGCAGTCATAGGATTGATTGGAAAAAGATGTTTGGGAATCGATACAATCTCCTCACTGACATACAACGTATTTCTCCCATAAGTTGTGCCCTTAATACTTCCACAAAAAGGCACATACTCGCGGAAGCAGCAAGAGACTTTGTCCCTTTGTCATTATAATTGCCTGTATCATTGCGATGTTGTATCCTGTTGAGTGATCTATGAAAGAGAGGCTTGGGATGGGATGAGCCAGTTCCGGCGGAGTTTTCATCGAGATTCAGCTGACCTTGCCAGATTGGGGACCATTTCCTTCCCCCGGAAGGCTTTCAATGAGAACGAGTCCGGAGAACTATTACTTTTCTGCGATGCATCACCGAAGACATATGGATTCGCTGCATATATAGTGCATAATCGCCAGTCTTAGCTGGTTTTTGCAAATCCTAAGGTGGCACCCTTAAAGAGAAAAACTCTTCCTACCTTGGAACCTTTGGCCATGTATTTGTCCCTAAAATGCTTGCCCACTCTCTTGAAGGGTTGCGGAGGATTCTCCCCAACGAACATACAGGTACCCACGGATTCTCAGGTGGTCCTTTCGTGGATTATTTCTGGGTCAATCGTGAGTAAGAACCTCTTTGCAAGAAAGTTTGTAGGGTTTCTTGCAGATGGTTGTTGGATTGGAATCCTTGATTAGCCTTACCTCATCTTTCCGGTATGTAATAACCACACTGACTTGAGCACCAGGGGTTTGACGTTGGAAAAGTTTAAGGCTTGCATTCGGTTTTAGTGCCATGGTCCGAGTTGGTTGCGTAACGGGACCACTCCATTGGCCACATAGGATTTGCCATGTCTCAATCAACGCAACTAACGGATAGCCGTTTTTCATTGAATGCCGCAGTCATCCAGGGAGAGGAATTCTGAACGGTCTTGTCCTTGGAGAAATTTCCTCCTTTGCAATGTTCTTGAGGGTAACTGCGTCAGTCCTAAAGTTTATCAATAGGTTGCAGCGATTGAAAGTTGACAGTGAGAGACTGGCAGCCATTCTTCTGATGAAGACAATGCAATAACAAGAATATCCTGGGTAATTGGCATTCTTATTTGATTCTTCAGGCAGGAACGTCCCTATATTATTGGGGGACCTTGACGAGGAGGGCCTAATTAGGTCGGACAGCAGAATTAGTAATTCTCTTCACTATGTTGACTAAGTATCACCCGATAACCAGACTCCACATAATGTCAGGTGCTAGCACTTGGGAGTTGGGTCCACTTTGCTGAGGTGAGATGAAGGAAAGACAACCTGTAAAGACAGGTTTGGGTACCTGTGTATTGTGCAGGAGCTACAATGCCAAACATGCCCTGCCTCCTACTGTAGCCAATTTAACCACTTCTCGTGTGAAGCTGGTTTGCTCGCTTCAGATATACGGAAGTTGACTACACTGGGCACCTTTGGATTAAGAAGAGTGATAGGGAGCTGAAAATGTATTTGCTCATTTTCACTTGTCTTAGTATCAGAACCGTACACATTGAGGTGGTGCCAGACTTGAATGTGTTGACCTTCATTCAAACATTGGTGCATTTCACCAGCTTGTATGGTATTCTGGCTACCTACAGTGATAATACAAAAACCTTCCTGGGTGGTGGTCAGCTGTTGTGCCACGATTTCCAGTAGAAATATCCAGACGATCAAAACCTGCCTCCATAAGGTTGTGGGCCATGGGAAATAGATTATTTTGCCTGATTAACCCTTATCTCTGACATTCAAAGGGCTGTCATTAATCACCCCCTAACTTATCGAGAATCGGCGGAGAGAGAGCAGGAAGCAGTAATACCGAGAATGTTTTTGCGAGCTTATGTAAATCCTGGCCTGCTGTTTAACCTGCACGAGAAAGTTTCTGCTCCCTCCATGACCCACCCCTCCTGCAAGGAGAGACTTATCAGAACCATTCAGATGCCTGGTGCCTGGAGAAATTTTTATACCCAATGGTATGACGAAAGAGACACCTCAGGTCCGTTCTAGAGTGTCATTCCGGAACAGACTGAAGGTTGGGAATGTGGTTTTATTCAAGAGCCCTCTTAAGCCCAGATCCTTTTTGGTTCTTGGTGGTGTTGTGGAACTGATTGGCGGAAAGGATGGTGTTGTCAGAGCAGCCAAGGTTAAACAGGGTGGTGCAGTGCAGATCCACTGAAGCACCTTTTCCGCTCAAGTTATTCCTATCATTGGGCGGGGAAGATGAAGTGCTGTCCTTGCCCGCCTCTACTGGTGCAGCTGCAGATGATCTTGTTCCTATCCCTCCTCAACCATTGCCCTTTAATGAAGAGGGGTGGTTTGGCTCTGTCCGATATTCAATGCCCCATAGGGTGATGAAGCTATGATTTTTTGTGATGGATGTGATAACTGGTGCCACTTCAAGTGTGTGGGGGTCAAATCTCCCCAACCTCCAAGGCAGGAATGCGCACTTTTGAGTCGCCGTTTGGGCAGGCCTAGTCTACTCCCTGAACAAGTTAGGAGGGCCCAATATAACAAAAAACAAACAAAAATAATTCTTAATAACATTGTCAATTGGCACTAGTAGGGTACTGTACATGCAGCTCCATATTTATTTTGTTTCTATTCATGTTTTTTCAATTGGTTCCCAGGAATGTGTGGAGAATTTGACTGTTCAGGTGGGAGAAAAAGCAATCTACTTACATTGGGTTGTTTGATTCTTACTAATTAAAAGTGGTAACGTTTTTACCAAATTTTATAGTTACAGTGGTCATGTGATTTTATTACCACGTGATACCTGAAGTAGTAATAAGGGAAGTTTTTTTTTCCTTTTTATTTTTATATTTGCTTAATGCAAGTTATTAGACAGTCACCTTATGTTGCGGAAAGGAATCTTATTTGGCAACTTAAGAAAGTAAGTGCTTTTGCTTTTTTTCTTCGAACCGTCTTTAGATTTGGGGAGGTGAAATTTTCTCGACATATTGTGTTTCACTATTTTTTTTTCTTGGTCGTTTCTTTTTCTATTTTGTTTCTATATTTTTCCAGTTTCTTTTTTCTTGCTTTTGGACCTTATATTTTCTTCTTTCTTTTCGCTTTTTTCTTGTTTTATTCATTTTGCATAATTATTCCTTTTTATTATTTTATTTTATTCATTTCTTTTTCTTTATTACTTCGTTTATTGTTTTTTTTTATTTATCTCTTTGGTCTTCTTACTTTATTCTCACCTTTGACCTTGTATAACATTCTGTGTGACGTGCAAATATGGATAAATCCATATTTTATTTTCCATTTTTTTTGTTTTCTTATTTTTATTTCTTTTTTCTTTCTTTTTACATGTGACATTCTATATTCTCTTTATTTCTAGTTACATTCTTTGCTATCTATATTTTCTTTTCTCTTTTATTCCTTTTTGCTTTATTCTTTTTTATGCTTGTTTTTCATTGTATCTTATATTTTCCTTCCCTTTCCATTATTTGCTTGCTTTGTTTCATCGATTTTCCTTTCTCTATTTACTGTACATTTTTTATTTCTTTTTATTTATTTATTCACTCATTCTTACTTGGTAATTTTTTTCTTGTTAAAACTGTGTGCGTTATATTTGCCATAAAGTTTTATTCTTTTTTACTTGCTTGCTTTATTCTTTCTAAATTTTCTTTCTTTCTTTATATCATTCATTCTACATTTTCTTTGGTTCTCGCATGCATTTTCATTTCATATCTTCTCTCTTTATATACTTCCATTTTGTTTTTCTCTTTCTATTCTTTGTTCCCTTGTCTATCCTTTGTTCCATTTATTTTTCTTTACAGATATCCTGCTCTCTTTCAAGAGAATGCTTCTCCTCCAATGCACATAAAGGATATCGAGAAATGAATTAATCCCACGAAGAAAGCCGAATCAAATTCAATCGAAAGGTGCCATCTTCAAGGTCTCTTCAATAAAGCCTTGTTAAGTTCTTGTCACTTGATAAATGTCTTGCGTATTATCTTATTGTATAAAAAGTTGCAGGTATATTATACGTATAAGACTGTACTTCAGTTTCATCTCATAGCACGTGCTCTTAGCCCTCATTCATCTCGTACTTAAAAAGGTTCTCACAGGAAACGTGACAAAATGTATCGCTAATACATTTTTTAATCAGTTCACCCAAAGGAAGACGGTAATTCCACTAGTAAACAGGGGGTACACAGAGACTGGGTATAGGGGGTGTTGAGAAAAGTATAAAAGATGACCAGGATTCAAGAAGACAGAAGATGGTGATTGACGTTGCATTTAAGTTTTTGAAGACTGTAGTTTTCATGCAAGAAAGTAATCGGAATGCAGTTCCACATGGGGGGAAGTGCAAGAAAAGAAGCTATTGGAGTAGAAGTGGTGGCTACACTTAACTATTTCGACATTAAAATGGTAGGACCTAAATGCTAACCTAGTAGCACACTTAAATTCATGTAATCGGGGCACCAGCGAAAAAAGCTCGTCAGTGCAATTACCATGAAAATTCTTGTAGAAAAGGCAGAGGGGAGCTACATCACATCTGTGAAAAAGTAACTGAAGTCGAGATTCTAAGTCAGGATCAATTACATTACAGATCCTTTTTAGATTTTGTCAAGAACCTCGAGATAAATATCAGGAGCACCAGACCAGATACGGAAACAGTATTCAATGCATGGACGAATGGTAGATGTGCAAAATGGACTCTGACGAGAAAAATCTTCTGGCACGACGCAATGAATCAATTTTCCATGCACTAGATGCAGCTATTGTTTCAATGTAGTCGTCCCACTTCAAGTCAGTGGAAAACGGGAGGCCTAGAAGGTGCAGTGAGATGCCCTCCAGGAGTTTAGTATCAGCCATGGTGGACAGGACAGTTTCCCTATGGTGGTTATATGAGAACAATTTTGTTTGGGAGGCATTAAAATTTACAAGCCATTTCCTGCTCCAATTAATCACTGACTGAAGATCCCTTTCAAGAGTAGCGGCCAGGTTAACTTTGTCATCTCTGACGGATTTGCTATTGAGACAGGAGTAAAAGGTTGTGTCATCTGCATAGATGCCTACTTGCGAACTGATGACATCAGGAATATGATTGAAAACATCAGAAAAAAGATCAGAATAGAAGATCAGAAACAGCGTAGGACTCGGGATAGAGCCTTGGAATACACACGCGTTCGTGTGAAATGATCTGGAAGCGAGCCCGTTCAAAACAACCTTTACTTCGTGATTTGATAGGAGCGATTAGATTAAATTAAACAGTCCTCCTGTAATACCGTAGTCTTGGAGGTTACGTAGAATATCAGTGTGTCAAACCCTGTCAAATGCCTTCAAGATATCTAGAGCCATAGCTTCGCCGTTAGAATCAAGAGCTTGATATATATTCAGTGATAGTCGTTAGTACCACAGCAGTGGACCTGGCAAAACGGAAGCCATATTGTTTGTCAGAAAATAGTTCGTGAGAGGCAAGATGCTTAATAACTTTGATTAATAGCCTCAAATACTTTGCAGAAAAGCGGTACGAGACTAATAAGGCAACAGAGTCAGGAAGTTCTTCACAGTTCTTAAAAACTTGAACTACAAAGGAGGCGTTCCACCAAGCTGGAAAAGTAGGAAGCAGCGAGGCAGTAGTTGTAGAAGTTAGAAAGGGACCTAGCTCGGGAGCACATTTCTTTAGGACGAGAGTTAGGATCTCGTCACTTTCACTTGCCCTATGGGAGTCTAATTTAGAAATGATGTCCGAGACCAATGACTGTGTTATGCACATATCACTCAGTAGAGCCTCTGTTCTAGTGGTAAAATCAGGTGTGAGTACTCCAAATTATTAGAGTATTGAGTTGGAAGAAAATTTCCGAGCCAAGGATTCAATCTTATTTGCATTAGATATAAGGACATCAAATTGGTTGAATAGAAGAGGGTTTGGGAATTTGCTGTTGTTCAGCACACCCCTGCAGAGCCGCCAATAATTTCTAAAACTGAACTTGCGAGATGCTATACATTGTTTCATTCTGTCAACAAACAGTAACTTTGCTTCTTTGAGGACAAGTTTGCACTCGTTACGATCAGAGAACACGCTTGCCCTCATAATGTATTTATTTATTTAGCTAGTTAATTATTGTGGCAGCATAGGGAAATATAGAAAAATCGGAAGCTCGTTTCTATCAGTCATTTTTTTTCTTGAGATTCAAACAAATTATGCAATAGGCGACATCTGTATAGAAAAACGTCTTTCAGGTTAAACAAAATAAATACCAAAATATTCCATACTTTTTGGAACTTTTTGGAACTGTAGACAACTTTTGATTTTTTTTTTACCATTCCTCATTGTCATCATTATCATCCATTTACATAAAAACGTTAATTAGGGTATCCGTTGCTTCCCTCAACTCATTATTTCAACGTCTTGTCAGTGTTAAATTCATCCAGCACTCTTTACTCAACGTGTGTCCTAGAAATTTTAACTGTCTCTTTCTGATTTTAAATATAATTGACCATTCTTTTTCCATTTACTTTAAAACTTCTTCGTTGCACATAGTTCATAATATTCGTAGAACCAAATCAAATCTCTATACTTTCCAGGTTCTTTCTTTTCATATGTGAAAAAATTTTCCAGCATTTACTGTCATATAGGGTGATACATATGTAATAATGGCCCAGGACTCTTTTCTTTGTTTATAACGAAATTCTTTAACGGACATTTCCGATGACTTAATATATAGCATATCTTCTCGAAAGTATCTTACTATATTCTAATACGCCTTTGGATTTCTCTTTCAAATTTCCGTCATCTGTTACTACACTACACAAATAGTTAAATTTTTCTATATACTTGTTTCTCCATTTCGTGGTTCATACCTTAAAAATCCTTTCTTCTTTAACCTTTTCCCTTGCTTTCCTGTACTACTTTGTTTAGGAGTACTTGAATTTTTTCTATCAGCGTCTGCCACCAATACAATGTCATCCATGAATCTTATACTGTTAAAATTATGCCGACTGGTAGTAAATCGTGATAGGTATACTAGTTCTCTTAAGATTGCCTCGTTATAAAAGTTAAATAAATCAGGAGAAAGGACGTATTACTCCTCTTTCTATTTTTATACTTAAATATACTTGCCCAATTCATTTTTTGTCTAAATGCATGTGGTTTGTTCCCAGTAAGTATTCCAGAGTATTCCAATATTCTCAAATCTTTCTCGTGAAAATCAAGCCTTCGTAGCAGTTCAAATAGTTATATATATATATATATATATATATATATATATATATATATATATATATATATATATATATGTCTGTATATATGTGTGTGCATCTATGTGTCTTATCATAAAGATAGAATTACTTGGTCCAGCGTCAAAGTCACACTGTCCTTACCATATTTCAAGTCTAATTCTACTGCAAGCCCTATCCATTAGAATTCTAATTATGAGCTTAATTATATGTCTCATCCTTAGTAAAGATAATGGTGTGGTTTCCCGTTGCCTTCTGCACGATTTGAAATTCAGAGTTTTCTTTTTTTCAAATTGGTTGGTATCCAAAGCTAGAGAGCCTAGTCTGTCTCCGCTATTCTAGACTGGGGAAGAAGAGAAGAATAAACATATAAATATATCAATAATGGCTACGCTGAGTGCTCTAAAAATTAAGGAATATGTTCCTATAGCTAAATTATTCTTCTCTGCTGCTGACTCATGTAGTTCATCTAGTGGAGAATCTGTTGTTAAAAAGGGATGCTACTTCGAATTTTGCCGAGAGCATTTTTTTAATTTCTGGTATGTGCTGCATAATAATGTTCATAGATTGACGGTCTGAATAGGAGCGTTAAAAAAAGATGTTAAAAGAATATTAAAGAAGTACTGATATTGACTATCTATGATCCATCTTATAAAAATTTAATATAAATAGTTACCAGATGAAACAAGCATAAATTTAATTTTAGGTATAACTGAAGCAGTGAATTTTTAGTCATACTAAATGTGAAAAATATTGTTCTCGATAATATGAGTAACAGTGACTGAGTGTTGCTTTAAAACTCGTGATATGCTTTAATCATTTTGCCTCAAGAAACACAAAGAGGTAATGGGTTGATGAGAGTGAAAGAAACAGCAAATATTACTGAAGAGAAAGGACAATAAAAGACTATGATGCAAAGAGACAGAATATGGCGATAGGCGTTGCATTTAAATTTTTAAAAATCAGACAGAAACTCAAGTAACAGGAAGTGAGCTCCACATGCGTTAAGTGTGATAGAAGAAATTCTTAACATAGATCTTATGGTTACATGTAGCAATTCCAACAGTAAAAGGATAAGTCATTTCTGCCAATCTAATACTGTGCTTAAATTTGTGAAGTCGAGGTACTAAAGAAGAAAGCTCATCAAACCAACTACCATGAAAATATTTATAGAAAAGACACAGAGAATCTACATTACGATTGTTGGAAAGGACAGATAACATAACAGATTCTTCTTTGGCTTTTGTCAAGAATCTGTAGATATATATTAGAAGAACCCGACAGATCAGATGTGGTAGAAATATTCAAGGCACAGAAAAATGGTAGATTTATAAATGGATAACATAGATCCTGGTGAGAAAAAATGACCTAGAATGACAAAGTGAACTAGCTTTCCTAACAGTAGGACTAGCATTTGATTCAATATAATCGTTCCACTACATGTCAGCGGAAAACGTTAGACCAAAAAGTGAAGTAAGTTATTCTTCCGGAGGTTAGTATCGGCTATACTTATATAAGACAAAAAGTTTTCCTTGAGCGATTAAAAGAGAAATTAACGTTAATAAGCCATTTCTTGCCCCCCCCCCAGTTAACTACAGATTGAAGGCCAGCTGCCAATTTGCCCTCATCAAACTTTTGAAAATTATCATTAACAC